TATATATATATATATTTTATGCTTACATAAGTTTTAATCGATAATATATATAATCAAAAGTAATGTATGCAAAAACTTCCAGTTTTATGTCAGAAATATGTATTAAGAATGCAATTATTATTTTAATAATAATTTTTATGTATATATGTATGTATATACATACATATATACTGTAAATAATTAAACCATAATATTTTTTGTATTTTATTTAAAAAAATTCATATTTTTGTGTGTATTAAGTTTATCAAATATACTTCTTTTCTCTTTTATATTTATTATAAATAAGAATCAGTTTGTGTTTAAATTATTTGAAACTTAATAATCGAATTAATATCTATATCCGATGTAATTAATATTTAAATTAATTAAATTGCATATTTAATATACAAGAATTTTCGCAATAAGAATGTCTTAACAAATAGTATTCTGCATTAATTAGGCATTAATTATTTTCAGAGAAACAATTGTTATGGACGATAAACTATCATTATTAGGCATGACACATAACAAAATGGAGGCGTCACGCTTAATAGCACATAATGTGGCACAGGAATCTTTTAAAAATATATCACCTTGGTTAAATGAGGGACTTGCTCAATTCTTAGAAATCTATGCCATTCATAAGGTTGTTTTATATTCTTAACGCTAGATTATCTACGTAAATAAAATACTGGTTATAATTGTTATAATATAACAAATTTTTAAATCTTTGTGTTTTTTATTCGTCAGAGCTAGAATGCAAATAGTTCGATATTCTCAACTTTTTATAAAATTTAAAAAAAAAAGAGATTCTCAGCCAGAAAATGGCAAGCATGTTAAAATAGTATAAAAAAAGAATACAATTATATTTTTTTCTCTTTTTTCTTTTTTAAGATATATCAATATTAAATCTAAATTATATACACATAACATATCATTTTACATATAATTTATTTACATATAAAACATAACAAAATTTTTTCTTAGTGAAATAACAAGATCTAATACATATTGCTAATGCCTAGCAACTTATTTTGATCAAGTATTTATTTAACACATTAAAATCTTTGTCTCTAGAATTTTCAATTTTATCAAATGATGGATATGTTAGTAGTCCAGTTACAACACGAATCTTTCCTTTTAAACTCCTATTTCGATGAGAGACTCGTACAAATCATCAATTCTGAAATTAATTCACTTTCCCCTTCTTTGCATTACAAAGGTAAGATTGAATAAGTCTGATTAAATGATTGTTCATAAATTCTAGAATATAAATGTCATAAAGAAGTTCCAAACATGAGTAAATTTATACATATATAGAATATATTTGCTGTCTAATACATTGTTTGCTAGAGAACAGAATGCAAAAAAAAAAATTTTAATATGCTATATATTACACACCCACACACACTTACAAAGAGAGAGAAAGGGAGAATAATGTGTATGTGTGTATATACATATATAATTAAAGCTAGAAATTTAATTTTTCTTTATAAAATTAGTTTTAAGTTTATGAATTTATGAACGTTTCATTAAATAAATTTCTTTTAAACATTCTTAATTATATGCATTATGTAACATGAATTGTAGCATTCTCTACATTGCGTATGTTGCAATATGTACTTACTGATGAAGTGTTTCAAGATGGTATCAAAAAGTATTTACACACAAAGTGAGTATAATTATTTTAATTAATTAATATGTATCGTACAAAATTAAATATAATATTATATTACATATTTAACAGTATATATATACACAGGGAGTCACCGATCAGGCTTCGACCTTGTATATACGTATATATGTATCTATGTATGGGTTGGTACAGATATGTATAAGTCTGAATTTAACTTTTTTAACGCAATTTATTACAGTATGTATATATATATGTGTATTAATTCTTAATTTCATATCAAATTTATTAAATTTAGTGCATGTATTCGCCGGACAACATCTGATGATTTTTGGATCGCTATGCAAGATGCTCTTGATAAATCGTATAATACCGAAATTAAATTAATGGAAAAAATGAATGGTTGGATAAGATATAAAAATTATCCTATAGTAAAAGTAATGCGCTATTATAGTCATACAGATATAGTACTAGTAAATAATGATTCATTCGATAATGATTTGTGGGTACCTATAACCTATACTACACAGAGCGATCTTAATTTTAACAAGACTTCGCTTCATCATATCAAATGGCAAAAATTTACGCCGCAAAAATCATATGTTGAAGTACATGAAGATCACAAAAAAGATGGTTGGATTATATTTAATTTACAACAAGCTGGTAAATATCAATCAATAAATATATTATGATCCTATGTTTATTTCACATAATTAAAATTTTTTTTATTCTACAGTTTTATTCATGTCTCTTTGTACTAGTATAAATTTAAAATAATTATGCGTTACATTAAATACATATAATAATTATGCGTTGCAGTAAATATGTATAATAATTTTATAATGTTGTATAAAATGTTATATGAAGTATTCGGTTTATTGCCATTGAATTAACAATGAATTAAATTCTATTATGCATGAATGATTTAGTGATCTCTAAAATCAATTTAAATTTATGTAGAAAATTTCTTATGCAATTTTATTCTATAGAGTATTACACAGTGACAAATGTAATTCTATAATAATAATAGTTTACACTTAAAAAATAAGTTTTTGTTACATTTAACAAATTAAAAAAATTTAATAGCATTCCTCGTAATTTATGCTAAATACAATACTGATCTTTTATAAATGCTTTATTATGTATAATAATAATAGAACTTATTTATTATACGCTAGGATACTATCGTGTCGATTATGATATTGAGAACTGGAAAAGAATTGCAACGTACCTAAACTCTATGGAATATTCAAAAATTCATGTTCTCAATCGTGCTCAAATCATCGATGACGCTTATTATTTCCTAACGATTAAGCAATTTGATTCTTCTGTATTTTGGCAACTTACGAAATATCTATCGCGAGAGACAGATTATGTAGCATGGTATCCTATGATCAAAGCTCTTGAGCATATGTCAAAAGTTTTTCCAATATCAGATAGAAGAGTTTATAATATCAAGGTAATAATAAATTCCCTAAAAATTTTATATATTAAATAATTACATCTAAATATATTAATTTTATATAGCCATTTTTAGATATTCTCCAAAAAGATAATAGAAAAAATTCAGTTATATTTCTTTTTGTTATAATTTTATATCATATATAATATTGTATACTAATGTCTATTTTATTCGTAATTTTACTAGACAAAAAAAAATTATTATTAATATATCGAAATTTATAACAATCTATTGTTTGTTTTATGAAAATTTTATAAAATAATAAAAATTTTTAAATTTACGTTTTATGTAACAATTTAATATCAATGAACGATAAATTATAAGCAACTATATTTATATGTGTAAATATATTTGTGCAGTATACAATGATAGAAACAAGAATCGAAAAAAAATTAAATTTACATTTACTTTATCAAGGAAAAAAATTTTAGTAAAAATATATATTTTTATACACACTATATATATCTTTTTTATACAAATAACAACTCATAAAATAATTTTTAGAAAGAGATGAAGGAAATATTAAACAAGCTTCTTCGGAATATGGGATACGAAGAATCTAATAAAAATTATCTTACTAATTGTCTAAAACAAGAAGTTACAAAATGGGCATGTATTCTCGATGAACCTAACTGTAAGACAGTAGCAGGTTCGAAACTGCAACAGCATCTCGCAAATCGTACAACAAATAAGTAATTTTTTTTCTTATTATGATTCTTGGATAGAAAGTAACATTTTTCTTGCATCTTTCATGCGACATAATGCATATGCTATTTGATTAAAATATATATAATACTGTAAACTAAACTTTTATAACAAATTTTTATTTTCTTTTTCAATATTGTAGACTTCTGCCATGGTGGGAAGAATGGACATATTGTAATGGTTTGATGACGGACGATAGTATTTGGAATGATGTATTTGAGATGTACATGAAAGAATCTGATAATAAATATTTAAAATTTCTGGCTTGCTCTGGAAATATTGCTATCATTCAAAACTATACGTTGCTAATGGCATCGAAAGATCATAATATAATAATAAAAGATAAGGACCATATTAACAGTTTTCATTTTATTATTGCCAAACATGCAAAGAATGGGATAATGCTTAGTTATATATTATCAAATTTTGAGAAAATAATACCGAGGTAATTACATCTTTGTTCATATATGTATTCTGCTAATAATATCGTGAAAGTTTTTCATGAATTAATTGTTAACCTGCTGTTTTGTGTCTGTAGACAAGCCAGTCGGATTGCAGTATTAATTGATCTTATAAATCATGTGTATACTAGGGAAGAACTTAACAAGGTAAATTTTTATCATATTATCTTGAATTATCATGAAAAATCATGTATGTGTGTATATATATATATATATATTAAAATTTTTATTTAAAATAAAAAAATAAATTACTTATTTTTAGGGAAAATATAGAATTAATATCATCTGTTTTAGATACACCAATTCGTAGAAAGTTACATGAAAAGTCCACGTTTGACGTTTTATGTTGAAGAAAAGATAAAAAAACGCTTAAACGAAATCGAAAATCAGACAAAGTATCTTGTAAACCTTTCAGATATAAAAGTAAGCAGGGATAACTGGAATATGTAAATCAATGGAAGATGACATTATACAATTTGTGCATATTTATCTATATTTTTAGAGAGTATAGACCTAAAAATGATTTATACTTTCTTATTTTTAATTTTTTTTATTAATCTGTTGTTAAATTTCTTGTTTTGTATCTTACTTTTTTATTATTTTTTAATCTAATTCCATTTTAATCTGATTTTAATATATCTTTACTTATTAATATTAATATTAATATGAAATTATATTAAATTAAATTATTAAGTAACATTCAATAATACTTTGCATTATGCTAATTAATAATATAATACAAATA